TTTCTGAATATATATTTTAATAAAGCAACAAATAAAACTCATTCCTTTCTTTTAAAATAAACTTCAGGTATGCATTTCAGTGTGCAACTATTTTTGAGTAAGCTTGGGTTTTTTTCCCCCTTCTTTGTTTGTGTTTTCAGTCCTTTCTAAGGGGCTTATGGGTTGAAACTAGCTTAAGTGACATAAATCTGAGCACCTCACAGTCTATTTAGCTTTCAGTATTTTTCTGGGAATTTGAAAATGACGGAGAGGTGTAGATAGACTTTGTGGATCTGATGCACTGCCTACTTTTGTCACTTTTACTCTCACTTAATTCCATCAGTTTTTGTGAATGTACACCTTTTCTATGCCCCTGTAAAGTTGAGATTTACTCCTGTACTAGCAGCAATATAAAGAAGTTTATCCTCTGCAGCAGCCATATTCACTGACAGAAACAAAACATATTGTAACACATTTATTGTGTCACATAGTGCAGACTGTCATGCTAGGTCTTCTATTTGTAATGAGCTTCATACTTACAAAAGGAGGCTATTTGTCAGCCCTAAAATTAAAGCTGCCTTTTTACATAGGATGCAGAAAGTGTAGTTCACCAAGATGCTACTGAAACTTTATGGGAACATCATATAGGGTGACAGAGTTGCTAAATCCTTTTTGTCATTCAGCTCTCCTGCTTTTTAGAGATAGCCAGCAGCTGTGCCACCTGTGTAGGATAACTTTATGCCAGTCAGAAAGTAACACAGGAGTGAGAACATCTGCTTCCCTCAATCAGTAAAGAGCCATTGAAACCTAAGAGAAGTTGACTCTCCAACTTTTGGTGAACAGTCTGGAGTTGGAAAAAGCTGTTCTGTAAACTGGTTTTCTGAACCATTTGTTTCTCAAATGGTTATAATAGAGGATCCTAAAAGCTCATAAATGACTTGTCTTCCCCTGTCCATCAGCACCTCCCCTTTGGGGTTCAGGTAAGCCATTCTGGGAGTGGAAAAGAACCCATGAAGAAATGCAGTAATGAAAATGATGTTAAGGTCTGTGTGGCCACAAGGTTTTTTTGTTAGTTTTTGTTTCAGTCTTAAGCTGTTCTCCGTTAGTCTGCTTCCCTAGTCAAGCTTCTCAAAGAGAAACTCTTCCCCTCAAGTCATGCTCAAGTCCGCTGTTGTGAAAGTTATCTTAGTCAATGGTGAACTATAAAATGCATTCTTAGTTGCTTTTGTCAGCTGACTAAAATGACTGGATTTTGTGCCCAAACTAAAAAGCTTAAAGAAGCTTGATGTTTCACACCAAAAGTTAAAATGAAATATTTTTTTAATGTTTTAGGGTTTTGTTTTGTTTTTTAACTTCTTTTTACTTCATGCTAGAACACAGCTAAACCCTTTCAAATTTTAGCATGAAATGGATTTGGTGGACTCAGTTTGATCTGAATTATTCAGGCGATTAAACTCCTAAAAGACTATAGCATCTTTTTAGTGCTCTTCTCTTTCTGCTTTTGATTCTTTTTGTACATACTTTTTATCTGACTCTAAGACCTTGGATCACTGTTCTGACCATGGTTTCACCTCTAATTGCTTGTAGACAGTTTTTGATGCAATATGAAAGCATGGCAAGTTAGGAGTGAAGGGTGGTTTTTCTCCCCTCTCCTCTGAAAGAATATAAGTAATATTTAAAAAATCAAACCCCAAAACAACTGGATATATTATGCTAGAAATAGCTTATCTGGACATCAGGATACATGCGAATTTTCCCTTTACCTTGGAAGATTTTGAGGTTTAAAACTATTCTGAAATTTCTCAAGAGTATATATAACGTATGTTTGGACCGACTACCAAGAAAGAAAATACACATTTTTGACATTTTATTTCTACTGGCTTGAAAAGCAAAATCTATTGTCCTTGTGTCTTCAGTCCTTCCATTCTTTCTTTTTTTTTTTTTTTCTTCATCCCTTCCAGAAGAAATCAGTACTAAAAGATCCTTCTCTCTCTTTCTTCCTCTCTCTGCCTCCTTCTTTGTATGTAGATATATGCAAACATTTCTCCTTATTTGCATGTGAAAGCTGTAGACCTTATATGCAAATCTTGCATTTTACTAACTTGTTCTTTTTTGGCCCTGTTAATGTTTTTCTTCCTTATTGTAACCTTTAGCAATTTTCCAATTTAACCTGTATTGATTCTGACATGGTCTCTTACTTGTATTCTGTTTTCATTTTCTTCTGTTTTAATGTACTTGAGTGACTTCTAAAACAATGTTCCTTAAGTGTTTGTCCTTCCATCTATTCTAGGTTTTCTTTTGGTTTCTTAATTCCTATTTTCACTTCTTCTGTCTTACACACTACTGGTCTTTTTTTTCTGCAGCATTTCAAAAATCCATTTAAAAGAAGTACTGAATTATAAGGTGATCCTGTGTTGTCTTCCTTTCTGTGTCATCCTCTACTTCTTTGACATCTTGGTGTCATGTCTTACTCCCCTCCCCTTCACAGCTGCCTTCTCTGCCTGCTGCTTACCACTTTAATTCTGCTGTGTATGTTAGTGGCTACCCTTTGCCGTCTGAAGTCAACAAAAAGGTCTCTTTCTCTCATTAAGTGTCTTCATACACCAGAATATGATTGTTTGTTCTTTCCTACTGCATCTTAATTACCAGTTATTTTGTCAGTATACCAACTTTACCTACCGCCTCATTTCTTCTTGTACTCCTGTTATATGATTTGTATGCTACTGCTCCTCATGCTAGAACCTATCCTTTCATGTCTGTTCATTCTAATTTTTAAGATCTTTAAGTATGCATCTACATGTGGATAAAACCTGCCAAAAACCAATCACCCACTCATAAAAACACTTTTCACAAGTTGAATTTATTTAGAATATCCTACTCTCTTGTCTTTATCTGAAGAACAAACTTAATGTCTATTGTTTGGTGTTCAAGATAATGTTGAAGCTTAACAAATGATGACTTATTCAAAATCAGCCTCGTCTGTGCTGTTATACTAACTAATAACTACCTACCACTTTCTATTTCTCCCATTCCAGAAGAACAGAAGGAAGGCTGTTATATCTACATGCTTTAATTTTCTGTAAAAATATTCAGTAGGGATAAATGAGTGTCTGATTAAACAGTGTAACTTGGTTTTATCTTCCATATAACACTTTAATTTTTTATTTTTTGAATTGTAGTAGTATCTCTGTACAAAGATTGGCTTGTCTTCTTGAAAGGAGTAAACTTAGAGAAAAATATTGTATGACCCTACATAAAGATCTGAATACTACTAAGACAAAACTTGCTTGGTTTTCTGAAAGTGTTTAGAAACTGAAGACACCAAACTCCTAGGAGATCATAAAGAGTATTTGTCATTTTCTTGGCTTGACCTGGAATGCATCTGTTAAAATTTGCAACTTTGTATCACAACAATTATAGATTAACAGAGTTGATATTTTGTGTAGAGAGTTAGAGAAATACTTCTGAAGAAGATTGGTTATGAATTCCTTATGAAATCTGCATGAAGTGTCTGAAAACAGGTGCAAAGTCTCCTTGATAATGAAAGAATCTGTTGACCTTTGTTTGGACAGAAAGGGTAAATGGGTTGGAATATTTCACAATTAAAGTGTCTACTTCTTGTATAAAATTGACTTTAGACCCTGTAATGAACATGTAAAACTTTCCAGAAAATTCTTTCTCTTGTAGCATTGGCAAGGAAATTCTCTTAACAGTCTTTAGTTTTGCTTTCATGCCACATCAAAATTGGAGAATTTTTCCACTCTGCTTTCCTTCCTGTGTCCTGATAGTTGGTTAGAGGCCTTTAAATGTGTATGTGTGACCAGTCACTTATCATCAGAGCCCAGTGAAACAGCTTGTCCTTATGGACATTTGAAATAAAGCCAGTCTTAGCAAGATCGCTTGCAAGAATAGCCAACAAATTAGATTAATTTTTAGAGTGGATATGAAGTCTGGTTAAACAAACATTTCATTTCTTTTAGCAGCTGATTGATTGATTCCAAACAAAAAAAGCTGTACCATCTGGTCCTTGGAAAACAAAGAAGCATGACACATTCCTTTTTTAAAAAATTCCATAGAAAAATATTTATATATTTTTTCAGGTATATATACATACATATACACACCAATTTTGTTAAATTACCAGTTTTACTTTTCCTATACATAAAAATATTTCATTTATTCATGTATAATTCACAGTCATACATTTCGAAGAAAAAATAAGAATTATTAGAAAAGCTTCTATCTACAATGCTCATAATTACACTTGAGCTGTTTATCATAACACAATTTGACAAGCAGTTTTATGACTTGAAATATAAAGCAGTATAGAGAGGTCAAGATAATATTGAAACAAAACCCCCTGTTAAATCAATTAAACTTCTTCCAGTAAATACTGTGAAATTTTAAACCTTGCTGGAACAAAGTATTAGTTATGTAGATAAATAGCAGAGTAACTGCAGAGCTGTGTATAGAGAGGTATTACATGTAATGAGAAATGTATTAATTTTGAAACTCAATGTTATTCTCAGTTGGAATAAGACCTGAAAAATTCTAAAATTTACAGAGGGAAAACTCAGAAACTTTTTGGTGTATCTCTTGAAAGAAAAGTAAAGGGGAAAGTATGTTAGATCAATAGAAGTGTCTCCATTTATGATATAAAACTTAAACCAGTATGTAAACAAAGTACTGAACCGAAGCATTTTCAAAAACAATTTAAAGATACTCTTGAAAAAGTGTGGTTCTTGTTGTTTCCCACCCATATCCATGCCCCATTCCCCTCAAGTTATTGGAATTCTCTTCCTATTCTGGCTTTCTCTCACATGGCAAAAAATGAAAATGTGTGCCTCAAGCTCTTAATCATTTCTACATCTTTTGGAAAGATGATTTGTTTCCTGTGAATATCAGTGACATTAATCTCAAAGGTATAGTTCTTGATATATAAATAAAGTCAATTTATTGTCATTATGGATTTTTACTCCATGATACGAAGATCCTTATTGCTGTGTTTTATTTCATTCCAGCTATTTATGAACTCTCTTGTGAAGCATACAAACACTTGGGCAAAACTTCAAATTACTACTGGATAGATCCAGATGGCAGTGGGGCACTGGGACCTTTGAAAGTTTACTGCAACATGACAGGTAACTGCATTGTATTTGTTAATTCAATTTTTTTTTTTTAATGTAGTTGTGAGAGTCTGTTCATAATTCATATTTCTTGGCAATGGAAAAATAATTGCTAAGAGCTTTTCCTGAGAGGAGTCTCAAATCTGTAGTCACCATTCAGTAAGCTTTTTGAATCACAGCTATTCATTAGCCTTAACAGGCCTTTGTATCCTCAGTGGTGCATCATTTACCAAAAAAAAATATATATATATATATATATATAGCTATTTACTAAAACTATTGACTATTGTATGTCAACATATTTGTAGTTCAGCAATGTCTGTGGTTCATGGGGTACTGTAGAAGGCAGCTTTTTAGAAATCAGACATTTATTTCTGTCCAGGTATTTCTGGCTTTCACACACTTACCACTGCAGGCAGGGAATAGAAATTAATCACAAGAGAAAAAAAACATTTGAATTTTCTTGTTTGCCTGTTTTGTCTTCTTAACTGGTGTTAGAAGGATGCATCTTGTTTAACTTCTGAGATAAAATATATAACTGCATTAACTTATTTTAGTTTCATTGTGTGCTTTCTTTCCTGATTTTAACACTCGTTTTGCATGGGTAATTTCCCATCTGGGCATTCTCACAGAAGAGATCCTGTCTTAGTCATCTGCATTGCCATGCTGAGGCAGAAAAATATAATGAAAAAAGAAAAGGGGGAAATTTTCTGTGCTAAAAATACATTATTTCTTTGGTCTGTTAATGCGTGGCAGTTGTCTCAGTGTTTTTTCCTGATATGAAATATTGCGTAGCTGATACAACAAACATGTTCCCTGACTTTCCCCAAATGTCTGCATAAGAGGTTTGAATTTCAGTCTATTTGCACTGGAAATCTGGCGTAGGTCTGAGTCCTCAGACTTCAGCATCAGCAATGGGAAGGTGAAGGCACTATCCTAAGTTGAAACAGTGACTGCCTCTTTGGAGACCGCAGTTGCAGAAGCTCGTGTAGCTCTTCCTGGAGGCAGACACTGGTACGTGCCTGGGCCCGTGGGGTGGGTTTTATCGAGATTGGGTGGGTTTTATCGAGATTGGGTGGGTTTTATCGAGATTGGGTGGGAGAGGCTGGGAGGGGGTGGAGGCAGGGAGCTACCTCGAGGAGTGACACATGGCACACGCAGCAGACCCCAGATCAAGCACTCGTAGATAGGTAGCCTGTTGGAGAATGAGAATACAAGTGTTTCATTTAGCCACTAATGCCTGCGTTTGTTTAATAAATGCATACCTAAAAAGGAGCCCGGTGGAAGCTCTGGGGGTGCCATCAGTCCTCCTTGTGTTGGGAGATGGGGCGGCCAATCTGTTCTGAGACGCAGAACAGTGGTGTAGGCAGCATTTCAGATAAGTGGATCCTGACCGATTTAGGGCATAAGTAACACCTTGAACTGGAACTAAACAGGCAGGCACTGCAGGGAACAATGCCAAGAATTGTTGATATATTATAGCAATTTCTGCTATTCAGAAGAATAGCAGCTGTGTTCAGGCTAGATATAGCTTTTCGGTATTCTTAAAGGGTAACTTTGTAAATTAAAAATATACTACCATAATGGTGTCATGTACAGAAAAAGTACACCTATCTGGTACTACACTATTGATTATTCATGTTAAATATAAATATATAGCAGAAGGTCCTAGTAGCTTGTCCAATACTGGGGAAAAAAAAATATATATAAGAAAAGTGAAAATAACATTTTCATTTCACTAACGTTTCTCCTCTACAAAACAATTTCTAGAGTACCTAAATGTGACCTTTTCCTAAGCAGTGCAAGGAGATAATGAACACTAGGCTAGATGATTTAGTGTTCATTCCCTTCATTTGTATATGACGCATGCTGTGGAAAAATGCATTTTTCTGTTTTAACTGAATCGCTCACATCAACAACTCTTTGCTACAAAAAAAAGGCATTTTGCACTAATAACCATGTAAATATTTAAACTGTAAAAATAAGAACCTAATAGAACTAATTCTTCATTAAAATACAAATGGGTGCAAGAAATACGTGAAAATTGCTGGGGAATAATTTTAATCTCTGCTTCTGAAACTGGAAAACCACTCTGACAATTGTTCTCAGATAGCTTAGTAAAGCACATCACCTATATACATAATGTATGGTACCTATACCTCCTCATATACATTCTCATCTTGACAGTTTTTTTTTCAAATATTCAAAATTTCTTTATACTAATTCACTTTCCAAGAGCAACAGCAAATTGTAATTTTTTTTTTTTTTTTTTTAATTAGTGGTCATCTTAAGCACTGAAGACTGTAGAGAATAAAGAGCTACATTTTTAGGAGAGAAATTACAACAACCTAAATCTTTTTCTGAATCGATGTAGTGTATTATCAGTAATATGCGTACTAGAGAAGGGACAGAAAGAGAATACTTGAGGACTTTGCTTCATCAATAACACATTTCTGTAGAACTCTGTAGCAATGGTGTATATCTTGTCATGTAACAGAAGGCACTATAGCATACTAGAATAAGAGCAGAATTCTCAAACAATTTTAGTATCAATATTGGGCAGGTTTATGGTATTAGTAGCACTGTCTTTGAAAAAGAACTTAAACTAGCTGAATTACAATTAACTTTTTTTTGTGAACATCCAAGTAACCTACAGATCTAGCTGTACTGAATAGTATGTGGAGTATACTAAATGAAAAAAAAATACTTCTTCATATGCCAGGATAGTGATATTTTATTTTAATAGAGACATCCTTAACAGTATTTCCCTCTCTATTCTGAGAGTCAAATCTATATGTTCCTATTAACCCACTATGTTAAACAAACATCTCTATATTAATTTACTACTCTAGATGTTAATATACATTTTAAATATATCCCTTGTTTCATTCAGGTGGAACTAGCAAGTAGAACACCTTAATGACTAAAAAGATGATGATGTAAAATGTAATTTGTTTGTTTGTTTCCTAGGGAAAACAGTTCCATAAGGTTAGGGTTATTAGCAAAGCTAGTATCCATCTTCTTAGACAAGGTAGCTTCATAGTCATGTACTGCTTTGTCAGTTACTGTAGTACAGTTTTACTGGTGCAAAATGTTGGAGAGTATGCTGCACTTTCATTTGACTGTAAACCTTCAGGGCCAAGGGCAATATCCTGAAAAGCCACTAAAATTGTATATGTAGAAATTACATCTTTAATCCTTGAAGGTACTGTATCACAAATATTGATTCACAAATTTCATTATTTCATCATTATGTCATCATTTCACCTATAATCAGAAAGTGTTAGGGTTCCGAAATGTGTCAAGAAAGTATTTTAAAAAAACCTGAAGATAAAATTAAGGTGGAGTAGACAGCTGTCTGGTCATACCTCTATGCATAATCCATATCCATCTTTAGTGTGTCTTAATTTAGTAAACCAATGAATGTCATGATGAGTCCTGCCCTTCACAGATGTTGTTGTGATAACTAAAAATTGTTCTGGTTTCTAAGATGTCCTGGTAATTCAATAATGCAAATGCATATGTGTGTGTGCTCCCCACAGCAATTCATGGTCTCTACAAACTAAACTGTATTGTCAAAGAAATCCCAGAGCACCCTCATTCTCTTGTCCTTGTCTTCTCCAAATAAACCTTGTACTCACAGTGTTGTGTTTGAATAATGAAGAAGAACCAAACACTTACATTTTATGTCCTCATAGTGGAATTAAAAAGTTTGAGATATCAAATTTAACTTTCTATTCCTGCTGCAGTAACACAGCTTTTCAAAATCTGGGGCATTGCAATAGACATTCAGCAGTTTTTCCAAATACTTATCAATAGGAACTATGGAAATTTTAGGAAGAATTTTTTTTTTTCTTTTACAAAAGACAGCATTGAAAATGTGTAGAGTTGGAAAGTTGGAACTTTTCAAATTAATGTACTTACAGAAAAACATTCCTTGAAGCTGCGATGTAGCATAATGTTTAAACATTAGACTGCTTTTTAGTTTAGCCCCAACTTGTGATCTTAGGCCACGAGGTAACTCTTGAAAGCTCTGTCACTTTTAGGCAAAGATCTTACCCTCTTTCAGAGGCAAGTCCACGATGCAGTTAGACTTTACATTCAAGCAGATTTTTCCAGAGATGGAGGCTTCCTATCTCGGTATCCATTTTAAGGCCTTTCCTGTTTTCTCTTTAATTGTCATTAGAACAGTAGCTGTAGTGGAAAGAACTATCTTTTAAGTATCTTTTAAGATATTTGTTAGAATATGGAAACTGAATTTATTACAGCTTCACTCCATGCTCTGTGTGATATATCTTGTATGTTTTGTCCTGCAAGAATTTTCAGAGCAGGAGGTAAGGAATAAACACAGGAACAATGCATGGTGACCATAAGCACTTAGTTATTTGTCCCAATGTCTGTATGGGATATCAGTGGGAGAGGTGGTCCTGTAGTTCCTTGAGACTTTATGATAGAGAAATCTTAGTCTTTCTGCTGTTTCTTCTGCTTCATCATTTAGACCACTGATACAAAGGAGAACTTGAAGGTTTCATAATCTATTTTACCGGAAGATATGTCAGTTAATTCTTTCTGTTGGTCCTGAAATCATTATGCCTCTGTGATGTGGCTTTTATCTAATTTCAGGATCCACATAGCTGCAAGTATAATGGCTCCATTTGAGTGGTACTTACCCTATCCCCTTTCTAGTACAGCTGTTTTGCCTAAAGATGCACATCTTCAAACACTTTGAGAAATAATTATGTATATTCATAGCCTGCCTCATTAAGGTCAAATGTACTATGTGGTGGCTTCTCTACCCACTCTCCCCCTTCCTCTCTTCTCTCTCTCCTCACTTTTTAACAGAAGTGGCACATGTAATAATTACTACAATGACTTTGTGAGTAGACATTAAACAAACATAATTGTCATACCCTGGGATTTTTCTGTCTTCTTTTCTTCTTTTTTCAAATAGTGGGTCACTGGAGTGCTTTTAACTATGACATATGTAGAAACATATGGCATGAATATAAATGTGC